TCCGTCTAGTCGAGGAGTGCGCAGGGAAGGAGGGCACACAGCTCGGGTCACCCGCCCTCCGGCCCGCTGTTCCTGGAAGTGGCAGAGGAACACCCAGCACCGCCGGGGCGGCCTCCGCAGCCTGGCTGGGGCCGCTTTGCAAAGGACCAGTGGCTGCCCCTCTAAGGGCCCAGCGGCTCTGGGAAGACAGCGGCTCACACAGCGCGGCGTCGCCGTGCGCGGGGCAGCACTGCCACCTGGAGGAGCCGCGCGGCGGGGCAGCGCTCTTGAGCCAGGGCGGAGCGCGGGCAAAACCGTGGCGGCCTCGCAGGGCAGGCACTCCCGCGGAGACCCGGGGGGCCGGCCTGAGAGCCCTCTCCCCGTTTCCTCAAATTTGGTAGGACCTGAGACTCCCCAAAGGCGGATCGCTTGTCTTCACTCAGCTCAAAACCTCCCAACAGTTACTCCCTGGAGCCAAAGCGAAGACTGGAGTCATCGCAAGCAAAGGGCTTCTGGGTCCTCTAATCCCCTCCCTGTCGTTGCTACTCTCTGTCCTTGTCCTTGTTTTTCACACAGTTATCACACGCACTTCCTGGGTTAATCAGCGTTTTGCTAGTGGGACAGATGCCTGCAATAGCCAGGACAGGAGTGGTGGTGCACACCCGCAGTCCCAGTACTCAGCGGCTGGTGCAGGAGGATCGCCATCCCATTTTATTATTTTCGTTTTTATTTTATTGTGTGGTTTTTTGTTATTTATTTATTTATTTATTTGTTCATGTGCGTGTGCATGTGCGTGTGTGTGTGTGCGCGGCCAGCTCAGCCCACCTGGGGGCGGGGCTGGCTGGCATGTGGTGCTGGGGGATTGAACCGCGGTCCCTGTGCTTTGCTAAGCTTGTTCTAAGTAGGTGCCTTAGACCACTGAGCCATCTCACCAGCCCCTGTTTGTTTGTTTTTAAATTCTGAGGCAGGATCTCACTAAGTACACTTAAATTGCTCAAGTTGAATTCAAACAGAATCTTCCTGCCCAGAGCGTTGGGATTACAGGTTTGTGCTGCTGTGGCCAGCAAGGGCAGAGAGTTATGCTGGCC